CCCCCCGAGCAGCCCAGGAAGATGGGGAGCAAAGCCTCGGAGGACGCCAACAGCGGGACAGCCATGGCGCGCCTGGGCTGTCCCGCTTCGGGCGTCCTCCGCGGCTTTGCTCCGCGTCTCCCTGGTCTAACCAGCAGACCAGGGAAACAGGGAGCAGCTTTTCTTGCCCCGGAGGATGCGGGCGGCGGGACCGCGGCTCATCTGGGCATCCCACCGCTCCCGTCCTCCGGGGCGAGAAAAGCCCTGTTCATAACTGCGGATCCGACATAAGTCGGATCCGCGTAACTCGGGGACTGCCTGTATATAGAGCCCTATGCTAGCTAATAAAAACCTAAATCCTACTGTATATGCATAAAAAGAAACTCCCGCTATACACAACTACTGTGCCAATTTTCTTAAAATTTGGTCTTCAGTTAGCAATGAGATCTACAACACAAGCCATGTTTCAACAAAATCTAATTTATCCATTGTTGACTTATCCATGAACAAAGTTTGTGACTTGAACAAGTGATCCAATTACTTTTGTTTTATAATTTACATGCAAAACTCAAAAATAGACCAACAGATTTTCTGAAATTCTATCCCCTCTACAAAAAAAAAAAATATTACTAATGAAAATAGCACTAATGCATGTATTAGGACACAATCATTTTGCTAAACCTTACTCACAAATCTATCTTTTTTGGATCTGTCTAGATCACTACTGGCAATTGAAGACAAAGGATAGATGTATTGCTGAGTATTTACTTTGGACACCATTTACTTTACTTTGCTATAGCCCCATAACCACATAATCTTTTTCACAGAAGCTTTCTCAAGGTTCAATGGTTATCAGCCTCTACTGGAATATATTAGTGCATATCTAACCATATCCATTACCTTGTGTAAACTTTTTTTTAATCTGCAGGCACTGGCATTTGAATTATGGCTCTAACCTTTGCTTCATTATTTTTTAACTCTTTACGGAAATCATTTCCTGACCCACATATATCATTTCAGCAACTTTATACTCAGTCTTATCTTTGCTAAATTTAATGTTTTAATCTCTTGCTACCTGTATTATCTTTATATGAATGCTATCATACTCATCCCTGTCAGCTGCAACTATATACACTTGCTCATGCAACTTTAACATAATGCATTTACATGCTCTAGGAATACTACTTCTAAAATATTTCACTGACATGTTTAATCCTAAAAGATAACCAGCAACATTTGTAATGTAGCTGTACAGCATTGAGTGGCTAAAAACGGGGTATTCCTTACCCAATTTCACTTGCCAATACCCATTTTTCTCATCTGGTTCTGTAGAAATCTTCTCATCTATTTTGATCATCTTCTGGACTACATATAGGATAGTGCTGCCTGTTAAGCTAAGGAATAAAATTATATATATTTATATGTTATATAAAAAACCTGACACCCATTATTGTGCTAGGTTCTTTTCATAGGTACAACCAAACTGGTAGCAAATCAGTTGTCTTAATAAGTGCTATTGTAACCCACACACCTAGTGTGGTTCACTGTCCCATGCAGTGGCACCTAGACCATAGCAACAGATAAGAACAAGAGACCTCTACAGTGGGGGCTGGACACTCCTATACTAAGTTCCAAAGGGCCCAGGCTCAAATACACCTGGTGATGGTTACACTATATTTTCTGACCTAACAATATTTACTATGAATTTACCCGTATAAATTTACTATAAGAGGTGTCTTTGTACAGCTCTGTTTGACTGGAATATTGTCATCAGCACAAATATCTGGCTCAATTTGGAATCTAATTTATTTACATAAGTTAATTTGTTCTGACATCCTTTTTGGCACATCTGTGGTCTCTAACATTTATGCTGTGTTCGATGTCCAATACATCACATACCCTTGTTTCTCAGTGATGGTACTATATCAATTTTGAAGAGTGAGAAGCTACACTGTGCTGTCACATTCAAGATCGCCACCCTTTTTTGATCTTTATGTGCTTTCTGCAAAAGCAACTACAGTCACACTGGGGCTCACAAAGTTGTAAGAAACCAAAAATTATCCCATAGATTTGATGGATTATTCTGACTTAGACTCCAGCGTCCATTATGAATGGTCCTGGGACGTGGGATCATTTCTGCTCCAGCTGATGCTTCAGTCCTATTGATTTTCACTTCTCACATGACCAATAAACACTCCGTCACAGTCTCAGTCTTACCTTTGGTTGGGCTACCATAGTCTCAGGTTGATATACCCCACTCGTCAGCTGTCACCATTTTTGGAAAAACCTTCCCATCTGTTGCATTAGGCTACATGTTATCTGGGAAAATCACCTGTGTGATAGTCTGACTTTAAAAATATTTGTATACATTATTCTCACTCCCTGCCAGGAAGGAATCTCTTAGAGTTAGGGTTAGGCTTGTTTTGGTGATTCTTTATTGGATTTTCCCTTATTAGGTAACCAGAACTGAACAATTATATTGCTATATAGAGAAGCAAGGTTGTTGTAACCACTTTTTCTTTCAGTTTTTGTCCATCAGAAACATTGGTAATTCTGTTTCTATTCCATTTTTCTTCTTTCAGCTGTTATGCTTAATAGAAGGCTGGATCAACCTCATCAAGGAAAGAGGCACCTGTCCATCCTTTTAGCAGTGAAGCACACTGAAAAACTGCTGTAGGGTATAAAGATCAACGGTGTGAAAAGATTTCTGTCTGGTGAAGGAAGTAGGAACCTTAATGGACTCGTTTGCTGGGGAACCACTACTGGTCACAGCTTTGTCTGATATTTTTATTGGGATTTTGTTAGCACTATTAGATTTTGAAAATTGTACGTCATCTTGACTAAACTACAAATGGTGTTTTCTAAAGTACTCAGTGTTCGCTTAAGTCAGCTCCCATTGACTCTGCTAGTCAAACGTATTGGGATTTCAGAGGGAGCAAAATTAGCTTTTGAAAAATTTCACCAAACTTTTCTAAAACAGTTTCTAAGTCTAGTTTTCCTTCTTCCCTAGTGATCAATGTGTTACAAACTCTGTGTGTGTGTTCGTTCTGTAGGACTATTTAAAATTATGGTACATGGATAGGCATGGTTTAGGCAGGAAAAACAGTACATGGTGGAATGTTATCCTGTCCAAGATTATGCAAATGTTATATCCAATACTTTGCATAAACATTGTACTTGGTATAATATTATTATACACTGGTAGGTCCATAGGTAGCTGTTATAGGGCTTTATAGGACTGATAAGTTTTTGTGCGAAACTGAATTGTTATAGCTCAAATGACTAAGGATGTATTATACAGTTTTCTGTTTGAAAATCTGTGAATTTAAAAATTGCAAAATGTTATCCAAACTTTTGATGCAAATTTTTTGTTCCAAGCTTAGAGAGGGGCCTATATTTATTATGGCAATTTTCCCCACTAGGTCTTTTATTCAGCATGGAAATGAGAGAGTGATGTTTGCCTCGTTAGCCTTTGTCTCCTGCACATTATAAAGGTTCCTCCCCCATCATGTGCAATAAAGTGGCTACTCAGATGTCCTTGGTCTTTAGGGAGTTTCTAGAACAGCTTCCGTGCTGAGGTTGAAATAATCTGCAGCCTGAATCAAATATTCAAGTTGTTGCTGAGGCTGCCTGTCAGCAGCAGCCTGCTCTGTGAACAGTCCTGCTCTTCCTTACTTAAATCTTTTTTCCTGACACTCTATTTTAGAGCGGTTTACTGTATGATGACTATCTGATAATGGGTTGACACATACAGAAAGGCTGGTTAGGGACAGTTAGCCTAATTTTAAAAGGTGCTGGGCATCCAAAGTTTTTAGTTCAGAGGAACCCTAAGAGCTGAAATCCCGATTGTTATGCGTTATTTTGTGGCATCAGTCACATGGGTCACAGTTAGCGCTTATACCCACCACATAGCGGGAAGTCAGTTTCCACTGTGCCCAGGGGGCTGTTATAATCATTCTATGCCATTCCCTGGTAATTAAATAGCCCAGACTAGTCATAGTCTAGGCACCTCCAGCTGATATGCAAGATGCAAAACTATCTGCAGTTTTACTGAGAGAGAGAGAGCCCTAAGACATAGAGCAGACACTCTCAAAACTGCATGGGCACGTGGAAGCTGTTTGTTCCCAGAGACTGTAATGAGGTTCTGCATGTTACACTTACCAGTGCTAGGCCTCAGGAAAAAGCCAACTGGAGTCTATGCCACAGCCGGAAATGGCACAAAAGGACATAAGGCCAGAACAAAGGTAGCCCAGGCTGCATTCTAATGTGATCGGCAGCAAAGAGATTGGGAACTAATACTCTAAGGCCTAGTCTTTGAGTTGAGATAGCACTTAGTAAGGCAAAATAGAGCCCTTAGCAAGAAGCTATATTTTTCAGGATAGCAAAGCATAATAGTTTCTATTCCATTGTGCGTACACATCAGAGAACAACAAAAAGGCAAGGGGAGCTGCACACGCCTTCCTGCCAAGCACATGCTGTCATACTTTATCAAGGGTGATGTGACAAACATGTTGTTTAAGTATCACCAAAGTTAAGAAATTTTAATTCTTGTCTCCTCTGAACAGTTCTGGGCATTCCCATAGAGCAACGATTACGCAGACAGAGTTTTGCCTACCTGAAGAGTTAAAAAAATCTAGGTCCCTTCCCTCGGATCATGAGGTTTTTAAAACAATTTATACCTATTGGGTTCTTGGTCAGGTTTTCAAGCTTTTTTCCTGCAACCAGAAAGGCTAGAAACTCTGCCTTGTACATAAAAGCTAGAATCTTTTGCTTCCAGGAGCTGGGGCGCTGAACAAAGCACCGAATATCGCAAGACTCACAATAGAAATCATGAGCATTCGTTGCACTGCAGATGCTTCCAACCTACAATTGCCACACCAAATCAGATGAGTGGTCCATCTACTTTCAATCTACTTCAAACCTGTCCATAGGATGGTTCAGGGCAGCTGCCACAGCCCCCAAGCTTTTGGGGGCCCCTGCCGCAGCCACCTCAACCATTCTATGGATGGACCTGGCATGGGCAGCAGCAGGGGGCAGCCTGCCCTCCCCTTCATTGTGGCAGTGCGAAGCTGGAACAGCCTGGAAGCCTGCTCTGCCCTGCCACCCTTTCCTGGCCTGCATTCAGCTTCTCCATGGCAGCAGGAAATAGAGTGCCCTGCCCCCAGGGTGCTCCATTTCCTGCCACCACAGAGAAGCATGCAGCAGATGGGGAGGGTGGCGTGGCAAAGCAGGCTGCTGGGCCACTCCAGCTTCTGCCACCCTAATGAATGTGGGAGTGAGGGGAGACCCCTGCTTCCACCCAGACCCCAGTGATCCACTGGCTTGCATCATGTGAGGGGAAGGAGCACAGCAGTGGCAGGAAGGGGTGTGACAGCGGCAGTACTTAAAGGAAAGGGTGGAACCGGGCAGGGCCTGTGGAGGGCTGCCCAGACCCCACACCTAGGGCATGGTGGGGAGTAGAGGCGGCAGTAGCTGCAGGCCTCATGTCCCCCAAGAGATAGTCTGGACTTCAGAATTGGGCCAGAGACCAGTTATAAATATTTATAGTGCACCAAGTTAAATATGAGTCACCAATGTGACTGTTACAAAAAAGCAAAACATGATTCTGGGATGCATTAATAAGCATGTTCAAAAGTTTCAGAGGGGTAGCCATGTTATCTGTAGTAGAAAAAACTTAAACGACAAATAGTCCTGCAACACCTTAAAGACTAACAAAAAAATGTAGATGGTATCATGAGCTTCGCGGGCACAACCCACTTCATCAGATGAATGGAGTTTAAGGGGTCCAGGTTTCAAATAAATAGAGAAAGAGAGGGGCTGAAGAGGAAAAGGAAAGGAGAAAAAAATGGGAAAAGAATAGTCAATTAGAATTTCCGTGCTAAATGAAGCTGATAGAGAGAGGCTTCCAAGTACCCTTAAGTACCTGGTGTTTGGCTTTTTATATCATTAGGATGTGGAATGTAGCAGGTAATCCAGTTAAGGTCTTTGTTTACAGCTCTATTGTAGGTATCAAACTTGCAAATGAAATTAAGCTCTGCAGCTTCCCTTTCAAACTGTCTTTTGAAATTGACTTGTAATAATATGAAAACCTTGAGATCTGTTAATGAGTGCCCGGGCAAATTAAAATGTTTCCCTAC